CCCCAAAACCCCAAAACCCCAAAACCCCAAAACCCCAAATCAAAATTAAAGTGCAAACAATATTGAAAGAATTGCAAGAATAATAAAATTAAATAATGCTTGATTATAATGAGGGCCTTGAGCTAATAGATGATACTTATCGGTCCAGAAATAACGAATTCGACATCAATAGCCAAGACCTCTACCTTACTTCGAGGAAATTAACTACAGATGATGATGATTTATACTAAGAAGAGTAGGAAGGCGATTATGACTCTTATTGTGAAGAGGAAGATTGCAATAATAACACTATTTTTGAGGAAGTTGATTCTTCTAAAGCATAGTTGATTCATAAGGATTACGGATATACAATGTATGCTTAATTTAGATAGGCTAATCAAAATGACTTGATTGGAGCTCCAGTTATTGTATCGAGTTATGCTTCAGGTATTAAGAGGTTTTTAAATGAATCATTTAAGATACATTAGACCTAGATTAAAAAGGTTTTTGAAAATAAACAGGATCATAAAAATAACAAGAATAGAATAAAAACAGCCCTTATTCAAGACAAGGTAACTACTTACTTCCTATAATTTCATAACTAAGAGCTGGATTAATAGAATAATGTTCCTCGAAAGTAGAAATTTACTCTAAAATTCTAGCGAGAGGCTTTAGATAAATTAAAATAGTTTACAGATCAATACAAAGGGATCTATTTGCCTGATAATCCCATTTTGAGATAATTTGCATAAAATTCTGAGTCTAATAAAAAATGCTTGTAACTACCTAGCAAAAATCAATCACCATTCGCTAATGATTTAGCCAATTTAAATAGCATCAAATCTCCTCAAGCATATAAAATGAATGAGTATGTATCTCCATACAAAGTCTCTTCTCCCAATCGAATAAAATTTAACTATGAAAATCAAGACATTATAATTGGAGCTGATTAAAAGCTAAGGAAAAACCAAAGAGGTATGCTTCTACAAAGCTCTTATTTCCCCTTTATTTATAATATGCCTATCAAAACCATATACACTTAAGATAAGCTAAAGCAATACCTAGAGTAAAGCATGCAAATAGATCCAGACATTATGAAAGCTAATGATAAGCTGATTCTTCCACTTAGACATGATTCTAATTACTCAAGGAAATATTAACTTATGGGTAATCTACCTAATTTAGAATAGAATTAATCATATGATAAGTCCAAAAAAATAATCGAGACAAATGATTTGTATAAAGGCCCAACGAACTAACCTGAAATTTGTCCTAAAAAACTTAAGGAAATTTTGAGAAATCAACTGAAAACTAGAACTTCAACTGCGATGAGACATTCTCACGAACCTACTATAGGCAAGCATTTCAAGCCTGCGATGAAAACGAGAGGATAGCTGCTCTACAAAAATTCAAGACTTAGAAAATTGAAGTATCTTCAATATGGAGAGTCATTTAGTTTTAACTAAAGTCCAAATAATAGAAATCAAGCTACTGAGCCAACCAGTCCAAATCAATCAATGCATGAGGTTTCTATTAATATAAAGCAAGATGCTCACAACTAGAAAATAGTTTATGATTTCAAAAACGCTTAATTTTCTACTAAAATTAATAGGGATAGAATGAGTGCATTGTAGCATAGTCGTCTTAAACATAAAAATAGTGTTGATGACTCTCTCAAGATAAATTAAAGTGTTATGATTTAACCTAAAATAGACAATATACTAAGTGATTATGACGAATATGAAAAATAATAAATTAGACAGATTTGCATTGACTATAAAATCAAGCGCCAACTTAATCTAGAATCACTAGCTAATAAACGACTTAAGTTCAATGTAACAAAATATATATGACTCTTGAAATACATAAATCTTAATTCAATTAAACTTGATTTCATATTCTATTAATATTGAAACTAAAATGATATAGTTGATATGGGGTTTTGGGGTTTTGGGGTTTTGGGG